ATAAAGTAAATAAAAAATTAAAAGAAAACATAATTTAAATGACCTTCTACAGTGATTTCTGTCACTACAGCCAGAAAAGCAATCCAAAAGTTACGTGTTTGGTGAAAAAATCGACTGATAAGCCTAATAATTCGAAAAATAAGATTACAAAACAAGCTCTAAAGTACTCCGTGATAAACATTTAAAGATAGATAAAAAAGTTGTGATTTTATTGATTGATTAGATTAGATTGGAATTCTTTCGTATCATCAGTACCGACTTGATTTGAATAATTAAATCAGATCAAGCCTAATTAGTTGTGTTTAATTCTTTCTAGTTGATGTATTTAAAACCTGTCTGACCTAACTTTGAAGAGCTGACATGTTTTTCCTTGAACTAAAACTTTAATCTGATCCAGTTTTTTTGATTTGGTGAGGTTTGAAATAGTCTGATCGGATAGATGTTTGGTCTACATGTACTTTATAAGTATCAAAGTCTAGTTTGTTTAATTCGCTGTTAACCTATTATTACTAAATATATACGGAGTATATATTTACAATAATAAATCTAAAACATCAAACTAGATCAAAATAACAACAATCAAAATAAAATCAGCAAATCCATTCAAATAGCAAAAATCCGGAGAGGTATTAAATTTACCATTAAGCTTTAATAACGCCTTCTCCAATTTAAATTGACAACCCGAGCAACAAGTGATCTGACGTCTACTTTTCGCACGCAAATCTGTTACGTTTAACGCAAATTATATCGTGCAACCGGGCGCATCACCAGGATGGTGCGCCCGGTTGCAAAACGACGGAGTATTGAGGCCTGGTTTCTTTATTTTTTATCCTTTTGTTTTTAAAAAATGGTAATAATTTTTTTTATTTTTGATCCGATTTTTATAAAATTTATATCAACATTTTTTATTTTTCATGATCTTTCAAATGAGACCAATATTGCTTGTGTAATTTTAAGAAATTATCGAACTATTATATTAATGTGTATTGGATTATAAGGAAAACCAAACAAAATTTAATACACAAAAATAATTGTGTAAATCAAAATTTATCTTAAAACTGTGTATATAAAAATTTATTGTATTAGGTATTTATACATGTGAGTTACATATTTTTATATGTGAAGTTACATATTTTTACACGTAAAGTTACATATTTTTACACGCGAGTTACATATATATACACACGAGTTGCATTTGACTTGCCTGAACGCGAGTTACATATATTTACACGTAAAGTTACATATTTATATACACGAGTTGCATTTGACCTGTCTGAACGCGAACTACATATTTTTTTTAAGTAAAGTTACATATTTTTACTTGTAGAGTTACATATTTATACACACGAGTTGCATTTGGCCTGACTGGACGTGAGTTACATATTTCTACACATAAAATTACATATTTTACATAGGTTAATATAATAGTTCAATAATATGTTAAAATTACATAGGCAATATTGGTCTCATTTGAAAGATCATAAAAAATAAAAAATGTTGATATAAATTTTATAAAAATCGGATCAAAAATAAAAAAGTTATTACCATTTAAAAAAAAAAAAGAGAAATAAAAAATAAAGAGTTGGTGCTTGCCAAATACGTTGCTTGCCAAAAACCGTATGCCGGTATACGGTGCTCACCGTATACCGGTCATACGGTATAACAACTGTACGTTTAAACATCATCATTAGTATTTAATTACTTACTCATTTTACACAAAACTGCAAATTTGATTTATACATTGGCGGATTTGGAATGAATAATAATGCAATAAATTAAAGTAGATATATATACTCTAGCCGAAGTTAAAATGATTAAATATGGAGTATGTATATATGATTATGTAATGCCGTTTCTTACTTCTTAAAAAACGGTTTCATACTTTATTTCATATGCTAATGATCTAATATGCTATTATTGTTTTTTGACTCCTTAAATATTTGTAATAGTATTAACTTTCATTGTCACTACTTTTTGTTACTTGTTGTTTGCTTATATGATCGATCGAGCTTATAAAAAGAATTTCGTGTACCAATTAGTATTTTTAGTAATGTTATCCTTACTTATCGATAATGGTAATAATTTTTTTAAATGAATATACCAATATAGAAGATTTTTATAAAGGGAAAACTGTCAAATAAGTAATCGAACTTTCATAAAAAGGTCAATTAAATCCTTCTATAGGAGGTTCTGTCCGGCCGTCGCAATTTGCGGCAGTTCCAGGTGGAATTTTTTGATGAACTTCTTTGTGCATCTTATTCACCAAGTCTAGTTTACTCATACCAAATTTCAGCTAAAAATTCAATCGGGAACACACTCAAATTAATTCTTGAAGATAACTGCGCATTTTTGCGTTCTCGAATTAATTTGAATGCGCACCCGATTAAATTTTTAGCTGAAATTTGGTATGAGTAAACTAGACTTGATGAATAAGATGCTCAAAAAAAATTCATCAAAAATTCCACCGGGAACCGCCACAAATCGTGACGACCGGACAGAGTCTCCTATAGAAGGACTTAATTGACTTTTTATGAAAGTTTGAGGACCTATTTGACAGTTTTCTCTTTTATAAACAATGAACTTCTCAAATCCTTCTAATTTAATTTTTTTCCCCTAAATGTAAGCCTAACCGAATAAACATATGTGCAACAATCACATTACAGCCAGTCACACTGACGCCATATGTAACTTAAACACGATCACCCTAAATAACATGCGAATCTCTAAACTGTAACAATGTTCTTGGGTGTGTATTTCAGCTCAACCGATCTCCAACCAAAACAACTCACACGTACACACCACCCACGACTGTTTAGCCCCTCTACTCACCTTGTTCAAGCCCAATTTCTCTTACCTCCTAAGCTCTCACTCACCAAGAGGAAACTCCCTCAAAGAAAAGGAAGAAGCCACACTCTCTCACACACCTCACCTTCACCTATCCGCACTCGTGTTACCCACTTTGACTAGACACCCTAAGCAACAATTAAATTCAATTTTCAACACATAAACCTATAAATTTAAGGATAATCTTTAACATGATAGCATTAATAACATGTGAATCTCTAAACTGTAACAATGTGTTATTTAGTTTAACCACACACCCTAAACAACGTAACAATTAACGCCCACTTTCAATACACAAAACTATAAATTTAAGAGTTGTCATCAATCAAAACTTATTTAACTAATTATTTTCCTAAATAACACCGTATGTTGCACATTTTAACCACTTTAGCTCAACGATGTTTCAAACACACTTCTGCTAAAATTACACTTATCAAAGAGGCTTGAAACTAGTGTAAAGTGCAAAAAATTGAAAATCAATCGACATATACCTTGCACGGAGTATTATATATGGAAGTTTTTGGGAAATCTATGCGTGTAATTAGTGGTGTTTGAAACTGATTGTGTTTATGTTTCTTTTTTAAAGCAGAAACCGAATATGCTTCTTTTTTAAAGAAGAAGCAGAATAAGAATCAATTTCAGATCGAAGCTGGTCTCCCCCAACTTCTAAAGAAACTGATTCTAGGAGTAAATTAGAGCACCCTGAATCACTTCTGTACATTCACATAAACACTTCAACTTCTGTTTCTGCTCCCTGGAGAATCAGAAGCAATTTTAAGAATTGAATCGAAACACCCCTTATACTTATTTATAGAGATAACTCACAAGATCGGACAGTCGGTGGTCCATCGGGCTTGCTTATTACTGTTAGTTTAAAAAATTTGTGAAAGTATATTTTACAAATTTTTACTCTGGCATTGACTTGGAAATATCGGATAGTCGGTGGTCCATGAAAAATTTTACTCTGGCATTGACTTAGAAATATACTTTAAAAAAAAAGTAGATCACAAAATTCATCTCGATACAAAAATTCTTAGTATGGACCCATTTATTAATTACAAGCTGAATTTGCAATTTTTCATACTCCGTATCATTTTTGAATTTATTAATAGATGATGCCCGTATGAAAACTAACAGTATAATAACATGTCACAATGACGCAATTTCAATAGCACTAATCACATCAATAAAGTTCAAGCTTATGAAACGGATTATCCACTTGAAAACGTGTGAAAATTGCAAAAAAAAAAAAAACACAAATATATACACGAAGTATAGAGACGAACGTAGATGATCGGACGGTTGGTGTTCAATGAGTATCACCACCTTGAACACTAGAATGATAATTAAGCAATCGCCTCTGTAAGAAAAACACTAATTATGTTTTTGCAAGTGATTATATTCTTAGATGTAGTACCTTTGGAGAGGGGACACTTAATATTTAATTATAATCCGTAAATCATATGTTCCTTTCGTCCCAATATAAAAGACATATTTGCTTTTCCACACGTTTTTAGGGTGAACATAGGGATGTCAAAAAAAAAAAAAAAACCGACCCGCAGTGACCTGCCCTGGCCCGGGACATTTGGGGCTGGTCCGCTGTGATACCTTGAAAATTTGAAATAAAAATAAATAAATAAATCAGATAAGTTATATCTGATAAATCAAATGAAAGTAAGATCAAAATATTTTTTTTTTTATACTTGGTGTATAATAATATACGCACACTACATGCAATGAAAATTAAACACTTATGTGGCATCGGAAAAAAATAAAATAAAATAAATAAAAATAAAAATAAATCAGATAAAATATATCTGACAAGGTAAATAAAAATAAATATCAAAGTATTATAAGTGACATTTTGTAACATGTAATAATATACATATACACATAAAATGTAACTTGTGGATGACAATCATACACATAGGTGTTCACAATAATACAAATAGAGGTAATAATATATGCAATGAACTTGCGGACTAGACTTAGAATGCATTAGAACAACCAACATTTACACATGCATGTTCATAATACTATGTATAATAATATTGAATAATAATGAAGAAATAATTCAAACCAATCACTCCATGTATGATTCAGCCTAGAATGATCGATCTACAGCTATAAATACAGCTTCCTTCCCATTCTAAATCACCACAAAGTGAAGAAAACGAGTAGAGAATATATATATATACTTACTCGCCGGAAAAATACACATATATAAATTTACGTAAGAAATTGCCTATAAACAAGAGAGGAGGGTCGTGAGAGGTCTAGGAATATTTCCCAATAAATTCCAGACCGATTCGTATTCACCGGAGCATCCTAGAGGTCGCCGGAGTTGCAAGCCAAGGAAATGGGTCTTCAGCAAGTGCGGAAATTTGGCCGTAGATAGGGGTGGCGGAGCTTCTCCTCGACGTCAGGATCATTTTGCAACTTGAATCGTTTAAATCCGTTACCTGTAAGTAAAGTTATCGCTCGCCGAAGTTTTCGGGATTCCGGTCGCCGGAATCGCGACCTGGAGAAGCTGGGAAGGAGACAACCCAGTCTTCTTGGGCCGGGTCGCGAATTTGGGCCGGTTCGGCCCATTTTCAATAAAAAAATTAAAAATAAAATAGTAAATGAAATAAATAAAATCTGGAAAAATATAAATTAAATACCTGGTATAAAAATACATATTCCGACCAAGAATAATTGAAAAATAATATTTGTAGCTATTTTTAATTGATTTAATTGTAATTGGGCCAAGTTGTACACATTTAGTAAATAATTAACTAAATGACGAAAATAATTATGAAATAAATATGGGTGCAAGCTAGATTAAATATATGACTAAATAGGACATTTGGGACCATTTATAATTAATAAAAATTATAATTAGCATATTTAATTGTAATTAAACCGGTTAATAGATATATGAAATTAAGTGAATAAATAAAGGAAATAATTCTAAAATAAATATCTGGACAACCTAGGTCTAGTATAGACCCAAACTATAGTTATGGATGATTAGTAATTTATAAAAGTGATGATTAAGTTATTTAATTTAATTAAGCCATATAAACTAGCTAAGTAATTAAATAAGGAAATTTTGATATTAATGGTGAAATAAATAAATCACTAAGATTGAAAATAATGTTCTGGACTAAAAATGATGTTTGTAATAAAATAAGGAAAAGAAAATAAAGTTGGGTTATCTAGTATAAATGAATGACTATATTTGGACTTAATAAATAAATTATTGAATTAGTTGACTAATTAAATTAGCGTGATTAAATTAATAATTATTATCCTTGATTATTAGTGATTTGGACTCCATATAAATTATTAAACTATTTGAACTCATAAAAATTAGTTGATGAATATAAACAAATTAATTAAGTAATGTGTACTTAATAAGTTAGTTAATTGACTTCATTGGACTAGTTTAACTAAATCAATTAGTTTAATGGATAAATTAGTTAATTTATAGACTTGATAACATCTCTGGACTTTATATTAAAAATAGAAAATTAAAACGAGATTAGAATTTGATTATTGGACTTAATTGAATTAGATTAACGTATTTAGCTATATTGATATAATTAAACTTATTTATTTGATTTAGTTAGTTCAATTAAATTAGTGAGTCAAATAAATAAAACTGGAGGATTGGATAAATTAATTTAATTGGGTTAGTTAGTATAAATAAACGATTGAACTAATTAAAGTTGTTATTGAGATTAGATTATCATTAATGATTATTATTTCGAATTATTGCCTAAGTCAAGTTATTATTAAAAGGGTTATTAAATAAATTATATAAATTATGTAAACTGAATTTTGAACTGAAATTGATTATCTAAATTCGAAATAATGAAATTATTAGGTAGTAATATAATTGGACTAGTTAACTATTTAACCAAACAAATTAAGAAAAACCGAGTTGGGTTATTATAATTAAAGAAAATAATAAGAATGAACTGGAAATAAACAGTTAGTAAGATTTATTAATTTAATATTTATATTTAAAGAAGGAATTATGAAGTTAAAGTAATTAAAGGTTGGATATAAAAGAAATAACGAAATAATAGAATAGTTATTGATTTAGAATTTTGATCAATATTAGAAGGAGAATTCAAGTGAAGATCAAGCTAGAGATTTTATTAAGGAGATTATCGCAATTTAAGGTAAGTTCTATGTCAACCAAAATGTTTTGCCTCGTACTTATATGTATGCAATATTTGCACTATGTGAATTATTTATGAATTGGAAATTATATGTTTGACATGGATCGAATATTTTGACTATATGAATATTGGTGGATTATTACCTTTTATGGATGATTAAATGTATATTCTTTTTATTAAAGAATGTTGGTGGATTTATATTTATTACAAAGGATATTTTTGAGAAATTGTGACAAGAATGATTTGGGGAAAACTTAAAGTTTTCATAATATATATTCTTACGTCTCGAGAGAAACACGAGGCGTGGGTGGTTAGGGCTACTACTACTTTTGGTGAAATTTATTTGGGTCGGTAACCAGTCCGGCAATGACATACTCCGGTAGACATCCCGGGCTTTTATTTGAGGATCAAAGATCCTTTGGTGGTCGTAGTAGTAGTTACCTAATTTACCCTTGGACAATGTCCCTTGTGAGTAGGTGGTAGAAAACATCTCGCCTACTTGGGTTTCTTACTACTCGGAGGGCTTGGAATCCCTTTTAGAGGGTGTGCACACTTAAGGTAGAAATTCAGCTTCCAATTGGTGGTCGGTGGGAGCCGGAATTCCGGGATGAGTCGTATATAACAACGACTCATTGGGCTCGAGGAATCTTGAGTTTCGCCCACTCTTAAAAGAATCTAAAGTATTACTTTTGAAGGAATTGAAGGATGATATTATCTATTGTGGAAATTATTTTATGACATTAAACCATTTTGGAAATATGAGAGACTACTTTTCGATGTATATACATATCCAAAAACCTATTTTCCAAATTATATTATTTTACGGGTTCGGGTGGAATCTTACTTAGCTCTAAAGCTAATTTTTGTCTCTTTTCTCTTTTTCTCTTTGCTCTATTGTACAGATGATTATGATTATGAAGATTGATGTACTTGCTGCCCGAGTGTTCCGCTAGTTGCACACGTTTGATTAATTATTGTTGTTTAAATTTGTAATCCATAAACTTGTTTTAAGTTTTATCTGATGGCTACTTGAATTAATGGTGGATAGCCTGTGCACTCAATCATGTATAGGTTGAGTGTGGCGGTGACACACCTGTTTTTCCATTAAAGACTTCCGCTGTACTCTAAATATGTTTTATAATAAAGATGTTTTCATTTCAAAATACTATTTTATTTTGGTGGGAAAAATGGGGGTGTTACAAGTTGGTATCAGAGACTTAAGTTTTCCTAAAGGATTTGAACACGAGGTAATAGGTTGTATGGAGAAATTCTGTCACCAAGACGATAAGAGTCTAAGGCTGTTGGTTCTTAATTGAGCCTTTGCGCTCGTCCAACTACCTGGGAATTTCTCCTTGTGCTGAAACTTCGTTGTTCAAAATCATTGAAGGAAACCTTTGAAATTGTACCTTCAAAAGGGAGATTTTCAAATATTTTTAAGATTAGGAAAGATAATATAGCTAGGAAATGGCCTTTTAGGAACGTGGTGAGGACCTTGTGAGTATTTATTTTCCTTACATGTATCATGTATGTGATAATTATGCTAATTGTGGGCCCATTTGAGAAATGGGAACCCCAAATGATAAAATGGGAATGCCTCATAAGGCAAAATTCCGAAGTGGCTAAGGTATGTACAAACATTATGTGTGAAAGTGCTTTTATGTGAAGTATGAATCCTCTGTATGATTGTTATGTACATTTTTATATGATCATGTTGCATAGCCTATGGAATCCTTAGTTGAACTAGGATTCTTAGGAGTAAAATATAGAAAATCTTACACGAATACTTTATGTCATTAAGATATCATGGCACCGAGAAGAGACCCTGATAACACGCCCACCAATGCTGAGTTGGCACAAAGCGTTCAACAACTGGCACAATTCATGCACACACTAGGTGCTACTGTGCTCCAGAACAATCAAAACCAGAACAACGGGAATGATGCCGCAAAACGAGTGGCATCTCGCAACCCTCCAAGCTTTCATGGGCAAGAAGATCCTCGTATCCTCGAGAATTGGCTCCGACTCTTTGACAAACTCTTCGACGCGGTGAGCTGTCCGGAAGAGCAAAGGGTTGACATTGCTGTTTACTATTTACAGCAAGAGGCAGATAACTGGTGGGTCTCATCAGGCCCAACTTTACGTCAACAACCTGACTTCAATTGGGAAGCTTTCAAGATTGCCATGAGGAAACGTTTTTATCCTGCACACGTTCAGGCCACCATGCGTGATGAATTCATACATTTGAAACAGATGGGCATGAGTGTCCAAGAATATCACAATAAATTCGTGGACCTCGCGCCATTTGCGAAAACAATAGTGCCTGATGAAAGCACCAAAGTTGAGAAATTTATCTACGGATTAAACTATGATACGCAGAAAATCGTCGCTGTTTTGGGTTGCCAAACTCTGACTGATGCTTATGATAGAGCTGCAGTTCACTATCGAGTTCAGCAAATACAAAGAGAGAGGAACCAGAAGATGAAGAGGGACGAAGATGGAGGTCGAGGAGAAAAGAGGGTCAGAGTGCACCCACCTACACAGCAACAAGAAGGGAGGAGGAGGAGAGATGACCAAGGTGGAAGAAATTTCCACAGTCAAAACCAACAAAATGATCGAAGAGCTGCTCCCAGAGATAGGCACTTCTACTGCAAGAGGTGCGGGAGAGATCATCCCGGTGTTAACTGCGATGGAAGCCTGACAAAATGTTTCAATTGTGGGAAGCTAGGGCACCGAACCTTCGAGTGTCTCTCAAAGACCAATGGGGCACCAGTGAACCAGGTGCAATACCGTATTGGAGGAAGACCAGATATGAACCAAGCTGGGCCAAATGGAGGACAAAATAACAACAACAATGCCGCCGCCAACAACAACAACCGCAACCCTCGAGGAGGAGGGGAGAATAATCATGGCAATGGCAATGGCGGGAACAATGGCAACGGCGGAAACAACGGCAACCGTCCGAACCAAGGGCGAATCATGGTGATGAATCAGGCCCAAGCCAATGCTAATGATGTGGTTTCAGGTACATTCCTTGTAAATTCTGAGCCTGCTTATGTTCTATTTGATTCTGGTGCTTCTCACAGTTTCATATCTTCTAGTTTCATTAAGAAATTGAAGATTGAACCAACGGCTAGAATAGACTTGAATGTAAGAACCGCCTCAGATAAATTTGTAACTTGTGGAAATGTATACTCCAACATTCCCATACTCATATCTGAATCCAACCTACCTGGAGATTTAATCCAATTTGACTTAAAAGATATTGACATAGTACTGGGCATGGATTGGTTGGGGAAATACAAAGCCAGGATCCTCTGTGATGAACAGAAGGTGATCTTGAAGGGTCCAAATGGGAAGCGAATATCTTACAAAGCAATCACATCCAAGCCTAGTATGAGGCTGATGAGTATGCAACAATTAAGGCGACATATCCGAAAGGGGTATGAAACATACCTGTGCTTTATGAAAGAGGTGAATACAGGGGAGCCAAACATTGACCAAATTGCTGTAGTCAATGAATTTCCGGATGTATTTCCGGAAGAGATTCCAGGGATGCCACCCGAGAGAGAAGTTGAATTCTCAATTGAGTTGATGCCCGGAACCGCGCCAATTTCAAAAGCACCTTACCGGATGGCACCGAAAGAAATGCAGGAGCTGAAGGAACAACTAGAGGAGTTGTTAGAGAAGGGGTACATAAGACCGAGTGTCTCACCTTGGGGCGCTCCGGTCTTATTTGTCAAAAAGAAAGATGGGAGTCTAAGGCTATGCATCGATTACCGAGAGTTGAATCAAGCAACTATCAAGAACAAGTATCCATTGCCCCGAATTGACGACTTGTTTGATCAATTGAAGGGGGCTAGCACATTCTCTAAGATAGACTTGCGCTCTGGATATCATCAAGTGAGGATATCCGAAAAAGATGTACCAAAAACAGCATTCCGCACGAGGTATGGACACTACGAGTTCACTGTGATGCCGTTTGGTTTAACAAATGCACCGGCGGTATTCATGGACCTAATGAACCGTGTATTCCGACCTTATCTTGATACATTTGTGGTGGTATTCATCGATGATATTCTTGTGTATTCAAAAACTCCGGAGGATCACGAGAAACACTTGAGACTCACGTTACAAACTTTGAGAGAGAACCAGTTGTATGCCAAACTCTCAAAGTGTGACTTCTGGCAGGATCGGGTAGCGTTCTTGGGTCACATCATCACCCAAGAAGGCGTATCCGTAGATCCATCGAAGATTGAAGCGGTGGTTGAATGGCGTGCACCTACCTCGGTCACAGAGGTAAGAAGTTTCTTGGGTCTAGCGGGATACTATAGGAGATTTGTTAAAGATTTCTCCAAGATAGCAAGACCGCTAACCAATCTGACAAAGAAGACAACCAAGTTCCAATGGAATGAAGATTGTGAAGCAGCATTCCAAGAGTTGAAGAAAAGACTCACAACTGCACCGGTCTTGACACTACCGTCAGGGACGGAGGGATTTGATATTTATAGTGATGCATCCAAAAGGGGGTTGGGGTGTGTGCTAATGCAAAATAGGAAAGTGGTGGCTTATGCATCAAGACAACTAAAGGTGCATGAAGTCAATTATCCTACCCATGACCTGGAGTTAGCTGCAGTAGTGTTTGCTTTGAAAATCTGGAGACATTACCTATACGGAGCACATTGTAAGATATACACTGACCACAAAAGCTTGAAGTACATATTCACTCAAAAAGAGCTTAACATGAGGCAAAGAAGATGGCTCGAGCTTATCAATGATTACGATCTAGAAATCCAATACCACGAGGGAAAAGCTAACGTGGTGGCAGATGCTTTGAACCGGAAATCTGAGCACTCATGCCGAGCAACATGGATATTACCAGAAGAACTATTCCGAGACTTTCAAAGATTGAGCTTGGAAGTAAAGCAATATGGCGAAGTAGATGGTGAAATACAGTCATGTACTATGACTGTTATACCATCTACCTTTGACGAAATCAAGAACGGACAACCGGGAGATGTAAAGCTCGAAAGAGTCAAGAAAGGAATGAAAGATGGCGTCAACGGACCATTTAAGATGCATGAAGATGGGAGCATCCGATACAAGGGAAGATGGTGTGTTCCACTGAAGTGTGCAGATATTAAAAAACAAATCATGGAGGAGGGACACAACACGCCCTACTCGGTACATCCCGGGGGAGACAAACTATACAAAGACCTCAAGAAGAACTTTTGGTGGCCGGGAATGAAGAAAGAAGTAGCTGAATTTGTATCCCGATGTTTGAACTGCCAAAAAGTCAAAGCGAAAAGATGCAAACCCAAGGGACTCGTGCAACCCTTGGAAGTACCAACATGGAAATGGGATTCAATCTCAATGGACTTTGTCGGGGGTTTACCTTTAACAAAGTCCGGGAAAGATAAAATTTGGGTGGTAGTGGATAGATTGACCAAAACTGCAAGGTTCATTCCTATGAATGAAACCTGGAGCATGGAGAAACTGGCAAAAGCCTATGTCAAACACGTGGTCAAACACCACGGAGTACCTCAAGACATCGTATCAGACCGAGATTCACGATTCTTATCCCAATTTTGGAAAGAATTACAAACGGCTATGGGAACAAAATTGAAGTTAAGTACTGCTTTCCATCCAACCACGGACGGACAGACCGAAAGAACAATCCAAACATTAGAAGACATGTTGAGGGCATGTGTTCTTGATTTGCAAGGATCATGGGATGAACACCTAGACTTGGTAGAGTTTTCGTACAATAACAGTTACCATGCTAGCATCGGAATGGCCCCATACGAAGCTCTATATGGTCAAAAGTGTAGGAGTCCCTTATGTTGGGGTGACATGGTCGATCAGGTGGTTCTAGGACCACAATACTTGCAAGATACTATTGAGAAAATCAAAGTTATCCAAGAAAGGATGAAGGCTGCCCAAGACCGACAGAAATCATATGCTGATCTTGGGAGGAAACCAACTGAATTCGAACTAGGGGAAAAAGTTCTACTCAAAGTCTCTCCTACAAGAGGTGTAATGAGGTTCGGGAAGAAAGGGAAACTAAGCCCGAGATTCATCGGACCCTATGACATCCTAGAGAAGGTGGGAAAAGTGGCATATCGATTAGCTCTACCCACGGAGTTGGATAAGGTAACAACCGATTTGAAATCAAATACTTCTCTACGATTAGAATACATTCTTAACATACCGATATATGCTAGGTACATAACGTCTTTCACGTATCACAATTAAAGAAGTATGTTCGAGATGAGTCACATATCATCAATCCGGAGGTAAGAAATCCTAGACTTAACATGAGCCAAACGTAAATTGAAAAGAATATAAGTTAACCGTTATATTATTAGGTGATTGAAATGGATGAGACATTATCCTACGAAGAAAAACCCATAGAGATTCTCGATACTAAGACCCGAGAGACAAGGAAGAAGACAGTTAAGATGATAAAAGTACTTTGGTCAAACCATTTGACCGAGAATGCAACATGGGAGACAGAAGAGGATATGCGTAAACGGTATCCTGAACTTTTCAATTAAGGTAAATATTCGGTTACGAGGACGTAACCTTTCTTTTAGGGGGACAGGTTGTCATATCTTATAAACCTATAATAATTCATCTTCATACTTAATTCGCGTCTTAGTTTATGCTTCGAGGACGAAGCATTCTTTAAGGAGGGTAGAATGTGATACCTTGAAAATTTGAAATAAAAATAAATAAATAAATCAGATAAGTTATATCTGATAAATCAAATGAAAGTAAGATCAAAATATTTTTTTTTTATACTTGGTGTATAAAAATATACGCACACTACATGCAATGAAAATTAAACACTTATGTGGCATCGGAAAAAAATAAAATAAAATAAATAAAAATAAAAATAAATCAGATAAAATATATCTGACAAGGTAAATAAAAATAAATATCAAAGTATTATAAGTGACATTTTGTAACATGTAATAATATACATATACACATAAAATGTAACTTGTGGATGACAATCATACACATAGGTGTTCACAATAATACAAATAGAGGTAATAATATATGCAATGAACTTGCGGACTAGACTTAGAATGCATTAGAACAACCAACATTTACACATGCATGTTCATAATACTATGTATAATAATATTGAATAATAATGAAGAAATAATTCAAACCAATCACTCCATGTATGATTCAGCCTAGAATGATCGATCTACAGCTATAAATACAGCTTCCTTCCCATTCTAAATCACCACAAAGTGAAGAAAACGAGTAGAGAATATATATATATATACTTACTCGCCGGAAAAATACACATATATAAATTTACGTAAGAAATTGCCTATAAACAAGAGAGGAGGGTCGTGAGAGGTCTAGGAATATTTCCCAATAAATTCCAGACCGATTCGTAGTCACCGGAGCATCCTAGAGGTCGCCGGAGTTGCAAGCCAAGGAAATGGGTCTTCAGCAAGTGCGGAAATTTGGCCGTAGATAGGGGTGGCGGAGCTTCTCCTCGACGTCAGGATCATTTTGCAACTTGAATCGTTTAAATCCGTTACCTGTAAGTAAAGTTATCGCTCGCCGAAGTTTTCGGGATTCCGGTCGCCGGAATCGCGACCTGGAGAAGCTGGGAAGGAGACAACCCAGTCTTCTTGGGCCGGGTCGCGAATTTGGGCCGGTTCGGCCCATTTTCAATAAAAAAAATTAAAAATAAAATAGTAAATGAAATAAATAAAATCTGGAAAAATATAAATTAAATACCTGGTATAAAAATACATATTCGGACCAAGAATAATTGAAAAATAATATTTGTAGCTATTTTTAATTGATTTAATTGTAATTGGGCCAAGTTGTACACATTTAGTAAATAATTAACTAAATGACGAAAATAATTATGAAATAAATATGGGTGCAAGCTAGATTAAATATATGACTAAATAGGACATTTGGGACCATTTATAATTAATAAAAATTATAATTAGCATATTTAATTGTAATTAAACCGGTTAATAGATATATGAAATTAAGTGAATAAATAAAGGAAATAATTCTAAAATAAATATCTGGACAACCTAGGTCTAGTATAGACCCAAACTATAGTTATGGATGATTAGTAATTTATAAAAGTGATGATTAAGTTATTTAATTTAATTAAGCCATATAAACTAGTTAAGTAATTAAATAAGGAAATTTTGATATTAATGGTGAAATAAATAAATCACTAAGATTGAAAATAATGTTCTGGACTAAAAATGATGTTTGTAATAAAATAAGGAAAAGAAAATAAAGTTGGGTTATCTAGTATAAATGAATGACTATATTTGGACTTAATAAATAAATTATTGAATTAGTTGACTAATTAAATTAGCGTGATTAAATTAATAATTATTATCCTTGATTATTAGTGATTTGGACTCCATATAAATTATTAAACTATTTGAACTCATAAAAATTAGTTGATGAATATAAACAAATTAATTAAGTAATGTGTACTTAATAAGTTAGTTAATTGACTTCATTGGACTAGTTTAACTAAATCAATTAGTTTAATGGATAAATTAGTTAATTTATAGACTTGATAACATCTCTGGACTTTATATTAAAAATAGAAAATTAAAACGAGATTAGAATTTGATTATTGGACTTAATTGAATTAGATTAACGTATTTAGCTATATTGATATAATTAAACTTATTTATTTGATTTAGTTAGTTCAATTAAATTAGTGAGTCAAATAAATAAAACTGGAGGATTTGATAAATTAATTTAATTGGGTTAGTTAGTATAAATAAACGATTGAACTAATTAAAGTTGTTATTGAGATTAGATTATCATTAATGATTATTATTTCGAATTATTGCCTAAGTCAAGTTATTATTAAAAGGGTTATTAAATAAATTATATAAATTATGTAAACTGAATTTTGAACTGAAATTGATTATCTAAATTCGAAATAATGAAATTATTAGGTAGTAATATAATTGGACTAGTTAACTATTTAACCAAACAAATTAAGAAAAACCGAGTTGGGTTATTATAATTAAAGAAAATAATAAGAATGAACTGGAAATAAACAGTTAGTAAGATTTATTAATTTAATATTTATATTTAAAGAAGGAATTATGAAGTTAAAGTAATTAAAGGTTGGATATAAAAGAAATAACGAAATAATAGAATAGTTATTGATTTAGAATTTTGATCAATATTAGAAGGAGAATTCAAGTGAAGATCAAGCTAGAGATTTTATTAAGGAGATTATCGCAATTTAAGGTAAGTTCTATGTCAACCAAAATGTTTTGCCTCGTACTTATATGTATGCAATATTTGCACTATGTGAATTATTTATGAATTGGAAATTATATGTTTGACATGGATCGAATATTTTGACTATATGAATATTGGTGGATTATTACCTTTTATGGATGATTAAATGTATATTCTTTTTATTAAAGAATGTTGGTGGATTTATATTTATTACAAAGGATATTTTTGAGAAATTGTGACAAGAATGATTTGGGGAAAACTTAAAGTTTTCATAATATATATTCTTACGTCTCGAGAGAAACACGAGGCGTGGGTGGTTAGGGCTACTACTACTTTTGGTGAAATTTATTTGGGTCGGTAACCAGTCCGGCAATGACATACTCCGGTAGACATCCCGGGCTTTTATTTGAGGATCAAAGATCCTTTGGTGGTCGTAGTAGTAGTTACCTAATTTACCCTTGGACAATGTCCCTTGTGAGTAGGTGGTAGAAAACATCTCGCCTACTTGGGTTTCTTACTACTCGGAGGGCTTGGAATCCCTTTTAGAGGGTGTGCACACTTAAGGTAGAAATTCAGCTTCCAATTGGTGGTCGGTGGGAGCCGGAATTCGGGATGAGTCGTATATAACAACGACTCATTGGGCTCGAGGAATCTTGAGTTTCGCCCACTCTTAAAAGAATCTAAAGTATTACTTTTGAAGGAATTGAAGGATGATATTATCTATTGTGGAAATTATTTTATGACATTAAACCATTTTGGAAATATGAGAGACTACTTTTCGATGTATATACATATCCAAAAACCTATTTTCCAAATTATATTATTTTACGGGTTCGGGTGGAATCTTACTTAGCTCTAAAGCTAATTTTTGTCTCTTTTCTCTTTTTCTCTTTGCTCTATTGTACAGATGATTATGATTATGAAGATTGATGTACTTGCTGCCCGAGTGTTCCGCTAGTTGCACACGTTTGATTAATTATTGTTGTTTAAATTTGTAATCCATAAACTTGTTTTAAGTTGTATCTGATGGCTACTTGAATTAATGGTGGATAGCCTGTGCACTCAATCATGTATAGGTTGAGTGTGGCGGTGACACACCTGTTTTTCCATTAAAGACTTCCGCTGTACTCTAAATATGTTTTATAATAAAGATGTTTTCATTTCAAAATACTATTTTATTTTGGTGGGAAAAATGGGGGTGTTACATCCGCCCCGCCCCGTCTTCCAAATGGGGCGGGTCCGCCCCGCCCTGCCTATACAATGAGGCGGGTCCGGATATTAGTATTGACCCGTGCCGCCCCGACCTGCCCCGACCCGCTCAATACATAAGCATACACACTTTCTTAAATTATACTACAAATATACTTCAACATACATATGTGTGTATACAGTAAATCATAAATTCTTTGATCTTATAATATATTAATACATATGACGGAATATCAATGTCTTCTTTATATATAACATTTTAATATATACATATGTTCAATTATTAGTATAATTAAATAGATTAACTATTCAAGTCTGAGTAATTTTTCCTTAATTTTTGAAATTTTTAGGGTATCATGAATTTGATTTAATGTATTTATTTTTAATTATTATTTAGAGATAAATTTTATGTAGATTCAATTGGTAACATCCCACAAATAAAAATATATACTAGCTAATTAGGTTATGGCGGGGCGGGGCGAACCCGCCCCGCATGGGGCGGGTCATGGGTCAACAAGTTTGGACCCGTACAGGTCACGGGGCGAACCCGCCCCGCCAAGTCACGGAGCAGGTCTGGGTCTTGCAGTACCCGCCCCGCCCCTACCTATTGCCATGCCTAGGTAAACACTGTTTAGCAATGTTTGGACACGGTTTTGCGCTGTTTGGCACTGTGTTGTTTGCCAAAAAGGGAAATGTGCCTTTTATATTGGGACGACCCAAAAAAGAAAATGTGTCTTTTATATTGGGACAAAGGGAGTATAATTTAATTTGTATGGAGGTGTATATTACAAGAAAGAGAATCACATTAGCATTTGGTGATATGCAAGATCGAGGTATATTGGTACTGTATTGTGGAAATAAAAAGGAAAGACCATATAAATAGGGAATACCCCACAAAAATACGTAGATTTAAAAAAGTTGGGCTCAGATTTATTTCAATTCTATACCATGGAGTAAAAATTTATAGCCCAACCGGCCCAATGGCCCAAAATACAGAAGCTTGGAGTAAATAAGGGATCTGGGGAAAAGGGTCAGATAGGGCCCACAAACTTACATAAAAAAGGTCAAAAAACCCCTTATATATGAGGCTTTGTCCATTCATCGCCGTTTGAGCAGTTCCCGGTGAAATTTTTTTATGAAACTTTTTTAGCATCTTATTTATTAAATCTAGTTTACTCATACAAATTTCAGCTAACGATTTAATCGGGAAGGCATTCAAATGAATTCTTAAAATAACTATTATATTACCAACGTAACAAATCGCTTTAGCATATTGGAGGTGATAACTGCACATTTATGGTGCCCTCATTGATTTATTTATATCATACATGTGGGTATATTAACCAGTGTGTCTAGCCGTTCTTTGCTACGAGATTAATGATAAGAAGGGGTTTCCCACTCTTAAAGTCTTAATTAACTGCATCTCTCTAACCGTTTTGAAAGACAATAATGTCCGGTAAAAAACAATTTTCATAACATCATGTTTCCTATTAATAAAGATGTTTTCTTTTGGACTGAAATTTGCTGGTCTGGTCTGATTTGATCTGGTCTGAATTGATCTGGTCTGGTCTGCTTTGGTAAACGCCTGGTCTCTGTGTATTTTATAACTACGAAAGTAAAGTTTGGTATCATGATCTGATCTGATCTAGTCTGATCTGGTCTGGGACCGAAAACAGTCCAAAAGAAAACATCCTAAGTCTACGGAGTACAAACAAATCAAAAATGTTTTTGAAGTACATTGTGGAAAGTATTTCCAATTTACAACCCGTGATTACACAAAATATATTGAAGTTATCAGAAAATGCGTACCCAATGCAATGCTAATTGTCTTTTAAATTACGCAGTAAAAACGAATCTTATGATGATTGCTTCAAACTACAATTATGGAGAGACGGGTTAGTGACTTTTAGTTAGAGGTCAAGTGAATAACTTCATTTGTGTGACTTCAATAATAATCGGATAACATTATACTCAATAAGACAATTACTTCATGAAGCAATTCGACCTTGCATCCCACTTTTCGGATGATATTAGATATTACATCTCATTTAAAAAATGTTTTGCACTCCATTTTTAAAAAAACTTTGACTTTGCACTCATCATATACTCCCTCCGTCCCAAAATTATTGTCCCGTTTGGTTTTTCACACAGATTAAGAAAATGACACTGTAGCGACATTGTTTGACACTGTAGCAACACTATTTGACACTGTTTTGCACTGTTTGGTATAGATTTGTTTACCAAATAAGGAAGGTAAAGAAACAAGACAATTATTTCGGGACGGACCGAAAAGGAAAGCGGGACAATAATTTTGGGGCGGATGGAGTAACACTTTTGTGAAATATTTTTTGATAATAGAGGGAAAAGTCAAAGATATTTAAGTAAATGGGGTGCACAATCAATTTTTTTTTGAAAATGGGGTGTAAAGTCAATCTTCTCTAATTCATCTAATTCATACTGGGTGCTCTTTGCGTCTGATGAACCATTGATCTCAAACATCCATTATGCTTGGTACTTTTGAATGATTGGTCGGATAACAAACAATTGCATCTACAAATGTCTTTTATATTAAATCAATTCTATTGTATGAAATTAAAAACTATCGTATAATATAATTTCATCATAATGTCATGTTTGTATATTTCAATGTTTTTTGATCATTTTTATTTCATAGAAAGTTGAGTTTTTATATACCTTCACATTTGATTTATCATTTGTAGACTGCTAAAATACATTTATTGAAGATTAAAAGATTAGAAGGTAAATGATCTGATGAGGTAGTATACAAGAAATTGCAGTTCAAATGCTCAATAATGGGTATGGTTATTTCATTCTATTGGGAAAAGTACATAAATATGACTAGAAGCAAGAGAAATTCATCCCATATGTGCGTCATTTTCTTATCACGTGCATCATATGCGAATAAATAAGAAGGGTAAATGACTTCCTATATTTAAGCTAATTAATCGAGAGTACAGTGGATGAGAAAAAGGATAACTACACATACATTTACCCTCATACAATGAGAAAATAACTAATAAAGCCATAGATGCGGAAACTCATATTCTATTAGTGACAAGGGAGATAAATTTCTCAAAAATAAAAAATATTTTTATGCTGATCCGATGGGTAAAGAAACTGGCGTGATGTTGTTTGTTAAAAAATAGACCCATAATATCATAAAAAATCTATTAAACATGTAAGTTTTTTATTTCGAAATTTATTTAATACTATCACGACTGTTTTTCTAATAAAATTGTTTAATGAAATAAAAACAAAGTTCAACATGTGTACAAGTTTCACTTTTTAACAATTTCCTTAACAATTTCTCTCTAAAAAATCAATTTCCTTAATATAACAATGCGGTGTAAGCTTATTTGAGCATGACGACAACCATGACTATTTATGCGGATTGTGTGATAGTAAGGAAGAAAATGCTAGATCGGTTGAAGGCAAAACATTTGTGAAAGGTTTGTTTCATCAATATTAATGAAAGATTTTAGAAGATTATTGACAATTATAAAATTATAAGTTCAGTAGTTTCAAAATTGTAATTTGATAATTTTGAAACTCACCTTTTGAAATGTAGTTCTCTAACAAAACATTTGATCGCTCGATTGAATTGGAATCATAATATTAATCGTAACATTGATTCAGAAAGTTGATTTCATTAATGGGACTTTCAAATTTCACATTTTTTAAAAACAAAATAGATACAATATGAGAAAATTAATATTGTACTATACTAGATATGAAGTACCAATTATAACAATCTGAATATTGTATCACCAAAAAAACAATCTGAATATTGTCAAAAAAAAGTATAACAATCTGAAAAGAGTGAAAGTAGGACGCGGGGAAGAACATCGCACTCTTTGGGTCAATAAAATATGATTCCCACAACAAGAACATATTCACTCATTGGGTTCTGCAATCTTCCGCCGGATTCTCGTCACGACCTGGCATGCCTCTCAGATTAGTACCCATTTCCACGCAGTGGCATCACACCGGAAGGGCTATAGTATCCGTATGATTGCGGCTGCGGATAAGATTGCTGTGGCGGCGGCGGATATGATCGTTGCAGTGAAGGATAAGATTGCTGCTGCAGTGGAGGATATGATTGCTGCATGCGATGGCGGATAAGATTGCTGCGGCGGCAGATAGGATTGCTGCGGCGGCGGATAAAAGTGCTGCGACGGCGGCGGATAATAAGAATGAAGAGGAGCACCAAAATTCGACCCCCGGATACCCCCTATCCGGCCGGATTGGCTCCAAAACACGGATCCAAACATATCTCTCACAGATCTTCTGTGAATTGCACAGAACTCGTCCTGGCAAATATCCTCATCCACCGGCGGCGGCGGCGCGCATACGTGCTTCTTCTCTTTTGACCTGCGGCTACGCCTAACACAATCGTTTTCTGGTTCGTGTTCATCCGAAGGAGCAGAAGATTTCTGCTTCTCCTTCGCCTTGGATTTACAGGATTTGTTGTTATCGGTTTTGATTTTTCCGTTACCATGATCAGGTGAAGAAGCGGGGGATTTGGTGGGGCCTTTGGAGTAGGAAACGAGTTGGGCCGCTTTACCCATTTTCCGGATGTAGTTGACTATCACAGTGGGCTCGCAATTGCATCTCACGGTGGCCAACTTGTTTATTGCATCATACTCCACCGAATATACATCTACATAGAGCATGACAAGAACAATTACGATAGAATGAGCTTCTAAATTTATGATAAAACTCAAATGGGTTAATTTGGTTGACTTTGCTGAAATTTATGAAGTTGAAACTAAATATTTAGATTTCTTGATTCATTAATTCATGAAAATATTATATTTAAAATATGTTTTAGTAATAAAATAAAAAACATACTTCCTCCATTCCATTAAACTTTGTCAACTTTCCCTTTTTTGTTGTTCCAAAAAACTTTGTCACTTTCCCATTAAAGCAGCTAATTTGTGGTTCTGCACATTTCTCTCTCCTCTGCACAAATCTCAACCACAGAGTTTTTACTATTTTTATTTTTCACCTACTTTATTTACACCTGGCAAAGTCCACCAGGACGGAGGTAGTAAGAAAATATAGCTAGAATGACCTTCTACATCAATTTCAGTCATTACAACCACAAAAGCAATTCAAACCTCACATTTCCATATTATTACACAATTCAACGCGTGAAATTAAAAGTTACGTGTTTGGTGAAAAAATCGACTAATAAGCCTAATAATTCAAAAAATAAAGTTAGCTCTAAAGTACTCCCTAATAAATGTAAAAATAAAAATAAAAAAATGGAAAAATAGGCTCTGATTTTATTGATTGATTAGTGGAATTCTTTGGTAATCTGTATCCACTTGATTTGAATAATTAAATCAGATCAGGTCTAATTAGATCTGTTTAATTCTTTCTAGTTTATGTATTTAAAACTAGTCTGACCTGTTTTTGTCAGCCCTTGTTATGATCTGATCTAGTCTAATCTGATTTGGTGAGGTCTGAAATAGTCTGACTTTTTTAGTTTGTTTAAGTCTACTCTGATTTGTTCTATTCTTGTATGGGGCTCAAATCAATCAAATAAAAACATTATTAGTAAAATATGAGATTTTTTCCTGAAATATTAAACAAAAATATCATAAAAAATGTGATTTTTATCACTTTTAGTGAATATAATTGTGTTCAAATTTCAAAACTAATTACATTGTACTTAATAACTACACTTAAGTGTATGTATAGGAACATAGGATTTACTTTCAAAAAGTACTACTATACTCCGTATTATATTAGCTGTTAGGGAAATATAAAATGAAAAGAGTATGTATTTGAATTTAATTCGTGACTAGTTCGTGACAAACTAGTCACGGACCGAATCCATGACTAAATATATACGGAGTATATATTTTCAATAATAAATCTAAAAAATCAAACGAGATCAAAATAACGATAATCGAAATAAACTCAGCAAATGCATTAAAAGAACATAAATCCGGAGAGGTATTAAATTTACCATTAAGCTTTAATAACGCCTTCTCCAATTTAAATCGACAACCCGAGCAACAAGTCACGTCTACTTTTAGCACGCAAATCTGTTACGTTTAAACATCATCATTAGTATTTAAGTACTTAACCTTTACACAAAACAGCAAATTTGATTATTAATTTACTACATTGGCGGGTTTAGAATGAATAAGTAATGCAATAAAGTATAAACTTTAGCCGAAGTTATAAAATGAACAAATATGGAGTATCAGTATCTAATAACCGTTTCATACTTCGTAAAAAAAAAGAACCTTTAATTTCATACTTTACTTCATGTGCTATTGTTGTGTTTTGTAATAATTTTTCACTCCTTAAATATTTTTAACCGTATTAGCTTTCATTAATTATCCCTTTGTTTTTGTTACTTGTTTGCGTATATGAATTTCCCGTACTAAGTACGTAGTTTTTTTAGTAATGTTGTTCTTACTTATTCATAATCATAATAAAATACCTTTCAAACGATTAAATTCAAATACATACTCTCTTCGTCCCGCAAAATAGTTTCCGATTTTCCTTTTAAGTTGTCCCAAAAAATAGTTCCCATTTATCTTTTTGGAAAGTTATCTGTGTCTCACTTTTCATTTACTTTTTCGTACTCAATCATAACCATTCATGATACATTTCCATTTTGTTCCTACTTTTTTAAATTTCAATCAAATTCAATGCGAGAACTATTAGAGCATCTCCAATGGTAAAATGTGCACGGTACACACGTGGCATGAGAAATAACCACATAAATATTAGTAAATAAATTCTTTCTCTCCTTATTTGAATGATTTTATACAATTTTGGTAAGTTTTTCTCCACACTGTCAAGGAGACCGTCTAGATGTTGACATTGTTGTTGACATTGCAGGGAAAAACTTACCGAAATTGTATAAAATCATTCAAATAAGGAGAGAAATAATTTATTTGCTAATATTTATGTAGCTATCACTCATGCCACATGTGCACCGTGGACATTATAACATTGGAGATGCTCTTATATGGCATATAAGAGACTATTATAGAAGATTTATATAAACAATGAACTTTTCAAACCTTTCTAACTTTTTCTAAAAAAGTAAATGTAATCGAATATAAATTTATATGCCGGCAACAATCATCTTACACAACGGTCACCAAGACGACATATATAACTAAGGACGATCGCTCTAAATAACATGTGAATCTCTAAACTATAATAACGTGTTATTCCATTTGACCAGACACCCTAAGCAACAATTAAAGTCCATTTTCAACACATAAAACTATAAATTTAATGGTAATCTTTAACATGATCATATTAAATTAAATAACATGTGAATCTCTAAACTGTAGCAACATGTTATTCAATTTGATCATACACCCTAAACAACAATTAACGTCCACTTTCAACACGCAAATCTATAAATTTAAGAGTTATTGTCAATCCTTATTTAACTACTTATTTTCCTAAATAAAATTGTATGATGCCCATTTTAACCACTTTAGCTCAACAATGTACCAAAAAACTTCAGCTAAAATAACACTTATCAAAGAAGTTCTAAACTAGTGTAAAGTGCAAAAAAATTGAAAATCAATCGACAAATACCTTGTATACGGAGTATTATATATGGAACTATTTTGGAATAATGCGTGGCTATATATGCTTAGTTATAGAGAAACTCACAGGATCCGACGGTCTGTGTTCCATCGGCATGCTAGCTGGAACATACTATAGCAATTTTTTGTACTATAGTAATTGACTAATTGTTACTCCCTCCGTCCCAGGGAGAAGTTCCCGGGTTGACTTTCACATATATTTAGGAAATAAAGTTACTGAAGGGGTAAATTTTACTGTTTGGCACTGTTTCGACACTGTTTGGCACTGTTTCGACACTGTTTGACACTGTTTTGCACTGTTTGACACTGTTTTGATGTAGGATAACTTTCCATTTAGGGAAATGAGAACTTTTTGTTGGGACTACCAAAAAAGGAAAGTGGGAACTTCTCCCTGGGACGGAGGGAGTATATCTCTAAAAAGTATATAAACTATACTCCGTAGTAATTAAGCAATGGAGAGGGGCACCGAAATATACATGTTTTGGAGAGGAGACTCGGTGCTTCCGTGCTTGTGTTATCATTGTTTCATATATACATATATATATATATATATATACTCCGTAGAAGCTAAGGGGGGGAAATCATATCAATAAATGGAAGGTGTACACTTAAGGAAGTCAAATTAGGTATATATGGAAAACTTATACTATCGTATGATTAAGGATGTTTTCTTTTGGACTGAAATTTGCTGGTCTGGTCTGTTTAAGTCTGGTCTGGTCTGGTCTGGTCTGAACTGGTCTGGTAAACGTCTGGTCTCTGTGTATTTTATAACTACGGAAGTCTGGTCTGGTCTGGTCTGGTCTGTTTAAGTCTGGTCTGGTCTGGTCTTTTCTGTTTAAGTTTGGTCTGGTCTGGTCTGGTCTGTTTAAGTCTGGTCTGGTCTGATCTGGGACTGAAAACAGTCCAAAAGAAAACATCCTAAGGAGTACTTATTGTGGGGTAATAATTATGGACCTATTTGTTCAATAAAGCGTACGTCTATTCAGGAGGCGTATTTTCTATTAGCTTTGATATTAGTTCTCTAAATGCACAAACCCGTAATTTCTATATTGTAAATAAATTCACGTACTTACAAATTCGATTTTGTAATTAATAAATTTGTTACATAGTACATACATAGTATTAAGCACATAGTATTAAGGATTGGCTTAGAAAGTATACTTTAAAAAAAAGGTAGATCACAAATTTCATCATGGCCGTCAACTTTTCTATCACAAATAATACATCTCCATACAAAAATTCTTAGTATGAACATATTTATTAACTACATGCTTCAGAATGATCGAACAGTTACATAAGTTGAAATGCTGAATTTGCAATTTTCCATATCATTTTTGAACTTAGTAATAGATGATGCCGTATGAAAACTCATAGTATAACATGTCACAATGACGCAATTTCAATAAAACAAATCACATCAATAAAATTCAAGCTTATGAAACAGATTATCCACTTGGAAAACATGCGGAAATTGCAAGAGAATAAGAATATACTACGTATAATTTAAAGTGACATATAAACACAAAGTATAGAGATGAACGTACACGATCGGACGGTTGGTGTTCCATGAGGATCGCCAGATTGAATACTAGAATGATAATTAAGCAATCGTCTCTTTAACAAAAACACTAATTATGTTTTTACGAGTGATTATATTCTTACAAGCAGTACATTTGGAGAGGGGTCGAGACTCGAGACGCTGCATATTTAAGTTATACATAGTATATATAATTATAATCCGTTAAATACATACTCCGTATATAATTTAATTTGTATGCAGGTGCATATTAAAGGAAAGAGAATCACATGAGCATTTGCTGATATGCAAGATCGAGGTGTGTTAATAATTTGGTACTGTAATTATTGTATTGTGGAAAGAAAAAGGAAAGACCATATAAATAGGGAATACCCCACAAAAATACGTACAGATTTAAAAAAGTTGGGCTCATATTTATTTCAGTTCTATACTATGGAGTAATAATTTACAGCCCAACCGGCCCAATGGCCCAAAGACAAATGTTCATGTCAGGCCGGCCTGACGGGATGCTCCGT